TCTCAAATCATCTCCTTAGAACAAAATCCGACTAAAACCCCTCAGCAGCAAGCAGAATTAGCCGCTAAAAAGAAACAGTTGGCGGAATTATTAAAAAAAGAAAATAAATATTAAATTGCCTATGGTCAAAACGAAAGAAAATAGCAAATTAGAATAAACCTAGTTTATCTGGTCTATTTTGATAAATAGATTGAATAATTCCTAAAAATCAATCACTACCTAACTTGTTATAAGTGCTGAAAAGCAGGAGTAGCGATTGTAAGCTAAACAAATAAATATAAAAAAATATGGCAGACGCACAAAAATATGTAGACAAATATTACTCAAAAGATTCCAAAGGTTTAGAAATTAGGAACAAAGGTTTGGAAGGAGACTTAAATTTATCAGACTTTGTTAATTTGGAGGAATTAGATTGCAGCGAAAACAAATTAAGTGGTTTGAAAATTAGTAATTGTCCAAAATTAAAAACTATTCAGTGTAATGGTAATAAGTTAACTAAATTAAATCTAGTTAATTGTCCCGAAGTTAGTGAACTAAAAATTGATGATAATTTGCTTAGCGATTATTCAATTTTTGATGATTTGTCCATTGGACTAATCCATTTAGACATTCGAGATAATAATTTTGAACCCAAGGGTTTGACTTTTCTTAGCAAATTTACGAGCTTAGAAACACTTAAATTAGGAAGAAAGAGAAACAACTACATGGATAATTATAGGGGAAGTAAAACGAATGCCTTTGGTGGTTCGCTGGAACCTTTGGAAAAAATGACCAAGTTAAAAGAATTAAGAATTATTAACACCAATATTAGTGGAGGTTTAAGGTACTTACCAAATAGTCTAAAGAAAATTCGTTGTGGTTTTACACCACTTAGTAACTACGATTGTCGGAAAATTTGTGAGGAGTTGAAAGATTATAAAATAGAAGAATATGAATATGATTTACAATCTTGGAGAGAAGCAGACGGTCAAAATGAGACCACTATTGAACCGCAGATAACCAAGGCTGAAAAGGACGAAATTAGAAATATACTAATAGTTGGGATAACAGGTAATGGTAAATCTGCCTTGGCTAATACTCTTGTCAACAAAAACGGAAAATTTGAAAAGGTTTTTGAAGAAGGAGATTCTAGTGTTAGCATAACTGGAAACTTTCAAAAAAGTGATGTTTTTGAATGAGGAGAAGAAGGGGGGAAAAAGGTGAAATATCGGGTAATTGATAATGTTGGATTTGGTGATAGCGGTAACTTGGCACTTCCAGATATTTTGCACACAATAGGACAAGCCATTCGTTCTGCTGACGAAAAAATAAATCAAGTCCTTTTCGTGTTTAAAGATAGATTCACAGACGAGCAAATAAAAACTTTCAATCTATTTAAAGACTTCATTTCCCAAAGCAGAATTATTGAGTTTACTACTATTATCAAAACTTCTTTTTCAAATTTTGACAAATTAGATGAGTGCAAGAATGATCAAAAAAATTTACTACACTTATTCGAACAAAGTAGGGACGAAAAAAAGAAGAAATTTGGTGAAATAATTAAACAATGTGGATTTATACACGTTAATAACCCTCCCTTACCTATAATAAACCTCGAAGTCAATGACAGCAGTGAGATAAGGAAAGATGAGGAGGAAGAAAGAAAATTAAGTGAAAAAAAAAGAGAAAAATCAAGAAAAAAATTACTTAGTTACTTAGCAGAAAAGTGTCAAAACATTTACAAACTAGAAAGATGAGACATCATACAGTCTCAAGTTGATGATTTTATGAAGAAGAAAAGAGAAATAGAAGCAGAAATAAGTGCTGAAAGTAATTTAAGAAAGAAAGCAAATATGAAAGACGGATTGAAGGAAGTTGAAAAAAAATTTGCTGAAGAAATAAGTATTCGTTTAGGATTAAGCCCTATAACTTTTGAGACATTTATCGAAATAGGGGTAAAAGATCCCCAATGTTGCTTAATTTCTTAATCTTTTTAAAATGATAATCGACCAAATTATTAATTCAGCAAAGTCTATTTAGAAAGTAATTTAAATATTGTAAACACTATATTATGGTAAGCATAAACGCACAAGAATGGTTGGATAAAAAATATCCAAAAAATGGAGTTTGTCAAAGAGATAATGATAAAGAAAATAAAGGCAAAAGAAGAGAAGAAATAATCAAATTTGATATCAGCAAAGGGAAAATTGGAAACAGTTTTTTTGGCGATGGTAATAAAAATTTAGTGGGTTCATTAAAACTAGAAGATTTTGCTAATTTGAAGATTTTGATCTGCTCTTCTCATCAGTTGGTTAGTTTAGACGTCAGCAACTGTCCTAACTTAGAAGAATTAGACTGTCAAAATAATCAAATTAACAGTTTAAATGTCACTGGTTGCTCCAATCTTAGAAAAATTAATTTTTCTAATAATTATATTAAAGAATTAGATTTAAGTACTTGCACTAAACTGGAAGAAGTAAACATAAATAATTGTCCAGAACTCACAATAGATAAAATAAAAACTGAACTTTATCACGACGCCAAGAAAGGTAGATTAGTGAAAAATTTAGTAAAAAGTAGTGGTCCGCTAATAATTTCAGCACAAGAAAACGATATCCGCAATATTTTAATAGTTGGCTGAACCGGCAGTGGCAAGTCTACCCTTGCTAATGTTTTAACTAATGCTAATTATTTTGAAGAAAAAGATTCTAGTACTAGTATAACTAAAAATTTTTTAAAGAGTAATATTTTCCAATGGCAGGGCAAAAAATATTGTGTAATTGATAATATTGGTTTTGATACTAATAGTAATCTCACCAAGTCAGAAATTTTATACAAAATAGGGGAGGGTATTCACTCAGCTAAAGAAGGAATTAATCAAATTCTTTTTGTTTTTAAAGGAAGATTTTCTCCTGAGCAAATAGCAGTTTTTAATTTACTTAAAGACTTTATCTCTGAAATTGGCATTACTAAGTTTACTACTATTGTGAGAACTAGTTTTACAAATTTCAGAAACCACCAAAAATGTGAAGAAGATAAGTGGGCTTTGCTTAGTAAAAGCAAAGAACTCAGCGAAATAATTAATTCCTGCAATGGCATTATTTATATAGACAACCCATCAATGCCTGTAGTAGAAGAGGAAGATAGCGATAATGAACTAGAAATTCGCATAAATGAGAAAAAGAGAAAAGAATCAAGAAAGATACTGCTAGATTATCTAACCGAAAATTGTCAAGAGATTTATAAATTAAAAGAGTGAGAAAGCATAGTCTCTATGGTAAATAATTATAATAAAAAAGAGGAAAAAATAAAAAAAAGCAATAGTTCAACCAAAGAAGAAGAATTGAAGAAAGCAAAAACTGAATTAACTAAAGAAATAAGTATAACTGCTGAAATTTCAGCACTTTCCAAATTAATTTCAAGAACAGAATTTGAAGATATCAATACTAATTGAAAAAAATAGAGTAACAGTAAGTAAAGCACTTGCTCTCTCCTGAACTATAAATAACTCCACTATGGCCTTGTGGATCACAATCCACTAACAAAACTTTCTTCTTTTTCGCCAATTCATAAGCTAAATTAACGGTAATAGTACTTTTTCCAACCCCACCTTTTTGGTTGACTATCGCAATCTTATACCTAGCAATTACCTAATAATAAGGTGGTTGAAACCCCAACTAAAAAGGCCCACAAAATTTTTATAAGCATGATACATCAAAAAATGTAAAATAGAATTATTACAAGTTGCGAAATTAATTTCCGTTTTTTTTATAATGAAATAGAACCTACTTCTATTCCATCTTTATACGCATCACTTCCTCTTATAAATCATCTCCAAAATGGCATATTAAACTGATTAATTGCTTCTCCTTTGGAGTTGTAATTCTGACAATGCCTAAAATACTCGGTTAAGTCTTTCTCATTAAGTATATTTATTATTTTAGCAATAACCTCTTTTAACTTTTCATAACTCCTAGGCTTATTCTTTTCTACCCATTGTCTAATTAAGTTAAAACAATACTCCACTGGGTTCATCTCTGGTGTATAAGGAGGTAAATAAAGAACTTCGATGTTTTTGCTTTCCAAAAGTTCTTTAATAGGAGTAAGGTTTAAGTTGATACAAGATTGTTTTGCCTTATGAACTGGCAAGTTATCCATTATCAGATAATGTTTGGCTTCACTAGGGAGTTTAAGATTAGTAAGGAAATTGTGAAAATGTTCGGTTTTCATCCCTCCTTTTATTAGTTCTCAATGAACTACCCCTTTACCATTTACATTCTGAATACAGAGGATTAGAGTGTGGTTATTTCCTAGATAACTTGGCTTTTTATAATTGGCTCGGGAACTTTTATGAGAATAACCATACCTTGGGGTTTCGTTCAGGTGAAAACCGCACTCATCAATAGCAAGAATACAGGATTGAGGTAGTTTAGGAAGTAGTTTTTTAAACTTGGTTAATTTCCGTAAATGACCTAATTGCTCTAAATAATGGTTAGTTAGTTTCTTGTGAGTAAAATTAAGTTTTTTTAAGGCTCTGAATATGGAATACTTACTTATTTCCTCGCCTGCCTTTTTGGAAAAGTAGTCAGCCATTTTTTGTTGGGTATAACTCTTTCTACCTCCCTGACCTGAAAGAAAGAAATATAAATCCCAAAGAAGTCTTCCATTCATCTTAGGTGGACGACCTCTTTTCTTTTTGGGTTTATCTCTATCTTTTTTTCAATTCCTAACTGTTCTTTCATCTACTCCGTAAAAAATAGCAATATCTTTTTGTGTGTAGCCTTGTTGTTTTAATTCTTTTAACCTTTGAGGCGTTGGTTTTGTTTTATACATATATTTTTATATGTATATTTTACAGAAATAATTTCAACCATTCTTTAAACTAGTCTTTCAAAGTTTCTTTTAGTCATGCTTTTATCCATTAAGTTTAAAATAATAATTATAGCAATTATATACAATTTTACACTAACTATCTTTTTCTCTCTTTTTGCTGTTTGTCGAACTTTATTTCTTTCCAATTTTTAGGAGGAGGAACTTTCAACATTGCTTTTAGCATTTTATCAAAATCTTTTTTTTTGATTGGTTGGCAAGGTTTGTCTGCTTCGCATTTAGAACAATGACCCAACTTCTTATTATGCTTAATATGTGCCATATATCCCCTTTTATAGCAAATTACTTCTTCCTTTGTGAAAGTTTTTAATTCTTGGTTGTGTTCTAATCCTGGCGAACTAACTTTCACAATCTCTTTTCCTCCATGGAATTCTTCTAACTTGTCTTTTTCTTTTTTAGTCATAGTCATAGTCATAATATAGAATAATTTTAACCAATGTTTAAAACTAATATTTGAATTATAGTTTGAAAGTAAGTTTAAATATAAGTTTTAGTTTTCTGATGTAAAATTATAAATATGTCAGAAATTAAAATCACAGCCAAAGAGGATGGGACTGAAAGCGTGTATCTTGGAGATTACAGACAAGGAATATCGACAGATTGTCGCAAGTTTGTTTCCCAAGAAACAGATAATGGAGAACCCAAGTATGAGATACTTATTTCTTTCGACCACCCTGAACTAGAAAAGCAAGAGAAAATCGATGTCAATATTAGAGTGAATAATAGACATTTCGAAAAGGGTTATTGCTATGAAATGTCTTTTGTAGATAGTAAGGATTTGTTATACAAATCACCAAACGGGCAAGTAAGCAATGAGAATAAAAATAAGCGAGTTTTTAATTTGCGAGCAAGCATCACCATCAAAGATAATTCTTACGAGAAAATATTAGAGGACTTAAAGAATGAAAATAATCTAATGAAAGAGGAGGAGACTACTTGAAAAGGTTTTATTGAATATTTTAGAAATCAATTGGCTGGAATATCAGATAAAAACAGCACTAAATATAAAGAGGGCCGAAAGTTCATTGAGGATTTAGAAGCAGAGTTTAATAAAAAGACTGGTAAAGGTGGTAAAGGTAATGATAACCCAGAGAGAGAGAGAGAGAGAGAGAGAGAGAGAGAGAGACAAAAAAATTGAGAAACTACGGAGAAAGATTGCCAAGTTAGAGGCTATTGTTAATCGCACTTCTCAACAGGAGCAAGAGTTGAAAGATAAAAAACAACAATTAGCCGAATTAGAGAACCAACAACAGACAGGAGGAGACCCTAAAAAGCCTACTAATTACTGGCCTTGGATAATCGGAGGAGTTATTTTAGTTCTGATTGTTATTCTAGTTGCTTATTTATGAAATAAGAAAAGAAAGCCAGCAAAATAAGTTCATGGTTTATTCCAATTACCAAGGAGGGGAACAAGAAATAAAAGTCTTTTTAGAAGCAAGAGAAATACCTGGCCAAGGTGATAGTAAAAGAATTAGTTATGATTTGGTTAAGACTTTGGAAGTTCCTGAATATCAATTAGGTAATTAGGCTTAAATGAGGAGAAATTAAATGTCCCTTTCATACAAAATCCACAAATATAGCAGTGTTTTCGAGGGTCAGGAAGTAATTCTAGTTCTTTTATAAGAGGTTTTAGTGGGGAGCATTTAGGACAGTTGGGCATATGAATATTTTTAGTGAACGAAGTCCTGATAGTTTTGATAAACTATTAGAAAGTTTCTAAAATTGTATATTATGGTAAATGCCCAAGAATGATTGGATAAGAAGTATCCGAAAGAAGGCTGGAAGGAAGAGTGAATTGATTGAAATGACGGTGGTCAAAAAAAAGAATGAAGAACAAGAAGCAAAACAGAAGAAATCTACCTAAACGAACCCAGTTTAGAAGGGGAATTAGATTTGGGGGATTTTACTTATAAACATAGAGACTATGGATGAGGTGTAAAAATCTACATCTCCCTTCAAGTAGATGAAACTAAACTAATTATTAAAAACTTATCCGAAGAGGCTTGGCTTGTCAGGTTGATAAATGCTCAAAGATGATTAGAATGAAATTATCCGAGCGATGGAACTTGTATAAGAAAAAAATTAGATTACAAAAGTAAAAAATGAGAAAATCACCCTGATTTTGGTAAAACTAGAAGTGAAATAAAAGAGTTAGATATTAGTTGGGAAGAACTAGAAGGAACCTTAAACTTAAATGATTTTTCTAATCTGAAAATTCTTGATTGTTCTAAAAATAAACTAACCAATCTCGATTGCTCTAATTGTGAGCAGTTAGAAGAAGTTTGTTGTTCTAGCAATTTCCTAACCAATATTACTCTCCCTACTAATTTAAAGAAATTAAGTTTAAAGAATAATAATCTCCCTAATCAAGACTTAATCAACAAATATGGTTTATGTCTTAAATGTTATCAATCCAATACTAGCAAAAACTGATGTCAACCTTGTGCTGAAAAAGAGTGAAAACAATTAGAAGAACAAGAATTAGTGGAAAAATTTATTCAACAACAAAAAGAAAGAAACAAATATGAAAAACTACTACAATGAATTCCCTACGAACAATTTTCTAATATCGAACAAATCGGAGAAGGAGGTTTTAGTAAAATATATAAGGCTGAATGAAAGGGGGGTAATATTGTTCTAAAATCCCTTAATAATTCTCAAAATATCACTCTCGAATTCTTAACCGAAATCACTAATACCAAATTAGTTTGAAGTGGAGTTGTCCGTTGCTATGGCATTTCACAAGACCCTAACACCAAAAGCTATGTGATGGTGATGAATTATATGAAAGAAGGCAATTTAAGACAGTATTTACAAAACAAAAACAACGAACTGAGTTTAGATGCTAAATTTCATAGATTACGGGGTATTGCTCATGGTTTATTTTACATTCACGAACAAAACCTAGTCCACCGAGATTTCCATAGTGGGAATATTCTGAATGGTAATAATAATTTCAGTTTTATTTCTGACCTAGGTTTGTCCTATCCTGCTAATTATCAAAAGCAAGAAGGCAAAATCTTTGGAGTTCTTCCTTATGTAGCCCCAGAAGTATTACAAGGTCAACCTTACACCCAGGCATCCGATATTTATAGTTTTGGAATAGTGGCTTATGAACTATTGGCTAATTCTTATCCTTATTCTGAAATGAATGACACTGATTTAGCCTTGGCAGTATGTAATGGATATAGACCTGATATAGATAAGGTGCCAGTTCCCCAAGATTGAAAAGATTTAATTAAAAGTTGTTGAGATGCTGACCCCAGCCAAAGACTAGATGCTGAGAAGTTGATAATTTCTTATTTTGGTAAGGAAATAGAGAAAGAATACAATACTTTCTCCCAAAACACTCCTTACCAAATTCATCCTAATGCCACCACTACTAGCAAAATGATAGATACTAAACAAATTACTCAGCAATTAGAAAAATTAAAAACTATTGAAGAATATCACACTAAGGCTTTGGAAGAATTAACTTTGGATAATATTAATCTTGATAAACTAAATATTCAAGAAGATCCCCAAGAACAATCTTCTCACCAAGCCCAAATCCAACAACTCCCCAAATAAAGTGAATTAAAAAAACGATAGCATATGAATAATTAGTGAGTTTTAGACATCTGCTGTTTATGTTGTTCGTAAATTATGTCTTTTATAAGGGCTTTGGGTAAGAGTTTGTCATAGTATTCATTCCCAAAAGTGTTAATTATTTGATGACTAATTTTCCTAATGTGGAAACCACTAACATCTTTTAAATAGTAATAAGTGAACATAACTTGCCTTTGTTCATTAAAATCTTGTTTGGAAATTTCTCATTCTTCAATGCCACTCCTTATCCAACTTTCCCACCATCCCTTTTCTTTTTGTAATTCCTTAGACAATTCCTCTTTGGTTTTCGTGGCTAAATCTAATTGAGTTCGGAGTTCATTTTTATCTTTTTCTAGGTTAGTTATTTTGGTTTGTAAACTTCTCCTTTCTAATTCTTTTTTGGTTAAATAGATTAGTTTTTGTCTAATGATTTCATATTCGGGACGGAGGGAAGTTCATTTACTCTCATTTTGTAGCCTTTCCAGAAGTTCATCGGGGAGAATTGTGCCAGCAAGAGGAGTTGCTACTCCTTTTTCCACAAGATAAAACAACTCTTTCTTTGCTTTATTAGGTTCTAAACTCTTTACTTGTTCTTGTAAGTTTTTGATTTCTCCTTGGAGATTAGTTATTTGGTTAGTTAGAAAATTCACTTTATCTTGCTCGGTTTGGATATCTTGCTGATATTTAGTAATATCTTTTTCCATTTGGGTTATTTGTTCAGCAGTAAGGTCAGTTTGAGTTCCTACATCCATCATTGGAGGGATTAATTTCCTTGCTACTTTCTCCAATTTATCCAAGGCATCGGCAAAAGAAATAATCTCTTTATCACTTGGGGGCAAATTCCTTATCTTATCTAAAAACTCCTTATTCTCCTTTCTCAATCTGCTTAACTCCTCCCTTTCTTTTTCTTTTAATACTTCTGGGGCAACCGTGGTAATTTCCTTTTTACCCCCGGCAGAAAGCATGATTAACTTCCTAATGGTAGCTTGATTACTATCGGCTAAAATCTGCTCTAATTCAGCTTTTCAAGTTTGGAGGGATTGGTTGGTTTCTAATGCCGTCAAAGGAATTTTACCTGACAACTTATCCTTTACTACTCTTAATTCCTTCTGAGCCGTAGTAATCATTCTGGCTCCAAATTTAACCCACTCATCTTCATCGGTTATGTTTTGGTATTTTTCTTTAAGAGATTTTATTATTAGACCATCATTGGGGTTAATTTTTTTCTCCTCGGTAGAGGTGTAATCGTATCCCAAGGATAGTCTGCGGGCTAATTCTAAACTCCTTATTACTTCCTCATAAGTAGTTTTTTTTGACATATACCCCCTATTTTAGGCATTAAATATACCCTAAAATGTAAATATATGAATTACAGCCAACAAATCCAAAGATATAATTGTGAGGGGTGTTATAAAGCGTTGCCTGCTGGCGAGGAAAGCCCTTGCTGAATTATTAATGATCCATTTACTATCAACCAATACATCTTTTGTCGCACATGCAAAAGAGGGAATGAACTTTCTAGTCTTGCCAGTTATCTTAATGATCCAAACTTTGACCGACGAAAAAAGATGACAATAATGGCAAGTCCAGAGTTTAAGAGTTGAAAGAATACACAACCTTTACAATTATTTTCCGAGGAGGATGGGGAAGCAAATAGAAAAGAGTTAGAGAGGGTTAGATGAGGATTACCAAAAATAGATTAAAAATGATTAGTTAGAAATTATTTCTTACTTTTTATCTTTTTAATAATACATGACCCAATTGTTAAAAAGCGGAAATTAATTTCGCAACTTGTAATATATAATAAACAAAGAATTAAGTTTATGAAGAAAGAACTAAATGATAAAAAACAATACGGATTCCCAGACAAGGCAGAAATAGAAAGAGTAATTAAAAGAGTGACTCAACCAGGTTATCGGCGAATAAATAAGGGTTTAAAACCAAATGCCAGCGAGCAAGAGAAAGTCAAATATAATATTTGCCAAAGTATTGGCGATTATTGTGATGATAACCAACTTTCCGAAAAAAAGTTAGCCCAAAAGTTAGGTATTAACCAAGAGAAATTGGAATATATTCTCTTTTGTCACATTAATAAACTTACCGTAGAAGAATTAATTGATTATGTGGCTAAACTAACCGGACATTTAGAAATAAAAGTAAATTATGACCGCTCAGAAGCCTCCTTGCGAGCCTGTTAATACTACTACTTATGAGTGCGAGATAGTAATTCGAGGGAGAAAGAGAATTATTTTAAAAATCAGTCCGCATTATAGCATTTTTCAAAATTAATGTCAGAGTATTTTACTACTTAATTCAAAAATTCATTTCCTATTTTTATTAACTCATAATAATTAACTCAAGTAACTACCCGTTTAGGTCGCGTCGCGTGCAAGTATGTGCGACACAAAAATATATATATAAAATAAAAATATAGATGTGTAATATAAATGTATTAAAAATAAGCAGTAGATTGTTAGTTGAGAGAGAGAGAGAGAGAGAGAGAGAGAGAGAGAGAGAGAGAGAGACAAAAATTATTACATTAATCTATATAAAAAAAAATATAATAACACCATAATTAGAAAGGTAAATAAAATACATAAATACTTTCTAAATTGCTAATTTTAAAGACAGTTATTAGTTCTGTTCTCAAAAACTAATAAGAATAAAAATTAAATGCCTATGGTCAAAACGAAAAAAAACAGATAAGAAAAATAAACAAAGTTTATCTAACTTATTTTAATAAATGAGTTGAATAATCAAAAATCAACCACTACCTCTTATTTGTAAATAACTTAATTGTTTTTAGTGGTTGTAAATTACAAAGTAAATTAATATAATAAATATTATAAAAAATAAAAATTATGCCAAATACATGTATTCATTTAGAAAAGGTAAAAATTATGTTAAATGTTTGAAATATTAAAGAGGGGAAAATGGCTGAAAATGAATTTTACATTCATTCATACTTAGAATTTTCGGAATCAAGAGAGTATGTCTTTAAAGATTTAAGCTCTGTTATCATTTCGGGTGAATATGGTGCGACAGGACTTGCTAAAAGGAGGTTGGAAAACGAAGACATTTTAAAGGATTATCATGTGGTTGTGGATAAAGACAAGTTTAAAAAATTCGAAGAGCATCTTAATTTAATTAGGGGCGAACTTCTTTCCATAATAAATGAATGTAATTGTGAAAGTGAAAATAATCAACAATTAGTTCTACGAAGAGATGCTGAAAGGAATTTAAGTAATACCGAAAGAAGTTTAACTAGTGTTAGAACAGAAAGAGATAGTTTGCAAATAGAAAAAAGGAGTTTAGAGAGAGAAAATTCCCGTTTAGGGGATTTAATAAGAGCAGGCGAAAGAGCATTAGACAGAAAAGATGACCAAATAAGGGAAAGAGACAGACAAATAACTACCTACAGCACCCAATTAACTACGACACAAAACCAATTGACAACAACCCGAAATGACTTAGTTGCCAAACGAAACCAATACGATGAATTAAATGCAAGATTCACAACTCTACAAATTACTATTAATAACAAAGATAATGAAATCAGTTCATTAAGAGAAGAGTTAGAAGGTTCACAAAATATTGATCTTCGTTATCGAGAAAGAAAATTGGATGAATTAGTTCGTAATTCCGGGTTAAATCGAGTTAGAGTTATAAATTTGCGTGATGCTTATGAAAGCTTGATGCGAGCACAGGAAGATTATAATCTAAATAATATCACTAATGCTAATAATGAGATTGAAACTATTAAAGCAGAATTTTTTCAAACCAATGTTAACGTAAATGATTTACACAAGATTTACAAAATTTGTGAAAAAATCGCTGAGTTAAAAGTGAAAAAAGAAAGATTACACGAACAACAATACCAAGCTCATCAAGAACAACCAATTAATAATTAAAACAAATAATTCAAAGATGGGAGAGTAGGGAGATTTTGCTCTCTCTCTCTCTCTCTCTTGTTGATACATTTATGCCATGACAAGAAAAGACTATTATCAAACATTGGGAGTAAGTAAAGGTGCTTCCTTTGAAGAAATAAAAAAATCCTATCGAAAGTTAGCACTGAAATATCATCCCGATAAAAATCCAAATGGAGAAGAGAAGTTTAAAGAAATAGGAGAAGCCTACGCAATTTTGTCGGATTCAGAAAGAAGAAAAAATTATGATGCTGGTGGAGATGGTTCTAGTTTTGATTTTAACGATTGGTATGAAAGACAAAAAGCTTACTTTGAAAGCGAACAGGAGTATTGAGATGAGGGACTCAGAAAAAACGGAGAAGAAAGAATAAAACTTACTCGAGCAAAATTTGCCTATAATGAAATACATCCTGATGCAGGATACCAATTTGAAAATCCACCTTTAGACCCTAGTTTGTGAAACCCCTACTCAACTTGGATGGAAAAAATTAGGGATTTGTATAACAAAAAAAAGACTGAAGAGGTGGATTCTTTTATAGACAAATTATGAGCAGCAGCCGAAGAATTTAGTAGAAAGAGAAATGAGAAATGATGGGAGGAATATGATAACATTAGAAAAAATAATGAGGGGGGGAATAAAAAAAATCATAATGATAATTTTGCTAATATTGGTAAAGGTAAAATTGGTGATGAAATACTTGACAAATTCAAATCCTCAGGAGTATCAGATTCCGACTTAGACTCTTCTTTATGGTCTCCCTATAAATTATGAGCAGAAAAACTAGTTAGTTTAAAAGAAGTTAGCGAAATAGAAACTTTTAAAAGTCAGATGCTTAGTGCTATTGAGAAAGCAAAAAACGAGAAATTAAATAAATGTAATAGTAAAAAAAATATTCCCTCTAATAATGGGAATCAACCTATTCCTCCTTCTAAGCCACATACACCACCAAATGCACCAGATTTCCAAAAAAATTCTTTGCAGAATAATGATTCTTTCTGAAATAAGCATGGTAAAGAAATTATAGGAGGAACAATTGTTTTTTTTGTTGTCTGCATCACTATTAGTGCATTTAAAAAGAAAAAAGGCAAACCCTTAAAAAAAAGCTACTAGACAACACATCAAGCAAGATAAAGAGAAAGTTAAGAAGTTTATGGCTGAGAATTCTTGACTTTTAGGTTTGGATTCTCTGTCGGCTGTAGATGAGTGTGGATTTAATTTAGGTGCTATTCCTTCCCATGCTCGAGATGATAAAAACAAAAGAGCAGTAGTGAAAAGACCAACTCGAGGTTGAAATTATACTTTACTGCTATGTGTGCAAAATGTAAACCAAAAGTCAGTAATTCATTATTATTTAACAAAAGAAAAGGAAAGGGTGGATACTAAAGTTTTTTATGACTTCTTCGAAGGAATTAACTTTCCCAACAATGATAAAAACTATCTCTTATTAGATAATGCTGGTATTCGTTGTGGCGATGAAAAGCGAATAAAGATATTGAAGTTACCAACTATTGAGGAACAAGCAGAGAAAAAGAATACTGAACTGGTATATTTAAGTTTCTTATTCCCCGAATTAAATCCTGTTGAAAAGTGTTTTGCCTTCATAAAACATTATTATAGAAAGGCAAGACCTCAGACTTTTGAAGAATTAGAAAAAGTTGTTGAGGAAGCAGTTGCTAAATTACAACAAAAAGATTTAAGGAAATGATTTAGAAGTTGTTTTGATTATGAGAATTGACACAAGAACAAAAAAGTGAATAATACTGACATTAATTTTGAAAAATGCTATACCAAAAGCGAAATGAGGAATTTCGAAATAGTAAGAAAAAGAAAATTAAGGAAAATCTTAACCAATATTTACTAGACGATTCGACAATTAGATGGCAAAAAAGTAAGAAGTGAAGGTATAAATGCTATTTGACCGGCTTGGAAGTATTATGTTTATGAAGCAATTGTTGATTCGAGGAACAACATGGCTTATCTAATAATTTTCTTTTTAGATGATAATAATCCGGAATTAATTGGCGTAATAACTGTTTATCCTCGGGAATAAGGCATATTTTTAGTAATATATTTGTTCAAATTGCAAAGTATTAGTAAAAGTATGGAGACATACGGAAAAAATAAAGAAAATAAATATTTATAAGAAAACATGGTAAGTGCTCAACAATGATTGGAACAGAATTATCCCAAAGAAGAAAGAGAAAAAATAACAGAATTAAATATTAGTGGCTGAGACTGAGATAAAGGAGAAGAAAATTCTGATTGAGATAAATTAGAAGGTAATTTAGATTTATCCGATTCTATTAATTTAGAACAATTGTGATGTAATAATAATCAATTAATCAGCCTTTATCTCGGTAATTGTCAGAAATTAAAAACACTTAACTGTGGATTTAATAAACTCATTAACCGAGAAACAACAAACCAAACTAGCTAAATATTGAGGCTCTAAAGAGAAAAGAAATTAAACCAAACAAAGATTAAAAAACCGAAAAAGAAAAAATAATCTCTCTCCTTATCTACGCAATTAATAAAATAAATTATATGACAGGACGCCAAGTAAACGTTTATCTCCAAGAAAAAACTTATAATGCGGTGCGACAACTAGTAGGACCTCGCCAAATTAGTCGTTATATTAATCAAGCGGTGGAGGAAAGATTAGCTTATGAGCAAAAAAGTGCGGATGAAGAGTTGAGACAGCAGTTAATTGCGGGTTATAAGGCTAACGCTAAAAATAAGAAATTACAAGCCGAATTAGGAGTCTGGGAAAAATTTTCTACTCATGATGTTTTAACTCAAATAGAAGAAAATGAACGAAAAAAAGGAAAAAAAGTCTAGACCAATTAAGAGTTTGGGCATTCCTCAACAAGGAGAGATTTGATTAGTAGAATTTCCCAAAATCAAGGAGTTCTCTAAACCTTTTCGCCCCGCTCTAATAATTAGCAACAACTTACAAAATGAATTTGATAAACTAGTAACAGTGGCTACTTTAACTACTGATGACATTGAAAATGTTAGGCCTTTTGAAGTTTTTATTAAAAATAATAAAGAAAACGGACTAGATTATCCTAGTAAGATTTTGACCGGTTATTCTTTTTCTGTTTACAAGGAGCGTTTAATTGAACTTTTGGGAATAGTGGAGGAGAAAATAATGGACAAAGTTAAAATTGCTTTGCAGATAACTTTTGATTTAAAAAATTAGCATGGCAAAAAATAAAAGAGTCAATAAGAAAATAAACTGACTGGAACTCCTCCTAACTTACAAATTTTTACTAATTATTCCTTTTTTACTCCTTTTTCTTTTTTATCGTCCGCAACCTACTGGCTTTTTAGCTAACTTATTAGATAAACTCAAATTCCTCTTGGGAACCATTATTTGAGCTTCCTTGGGAATGCTAACAGGAGGTTTACTCTTAGCCATTTTTCGCAATAAAGGTCAACTAATTCTGGATAACACGGAGGAATTCTTAGATTACTGCAACTAAAAGTAATGGTCTAGTCTTTTTTGGTTCCATTGGCAGTGGTAAAACGGCTATTTTGGCGATGTTAGCCCATGAACTTCCCGGCGAGAATAAATATGCTACTTTTCCTTGTAATCTCCCATGAGCTGAAAAGTCCCAAATTGATTTCTCCCACTGTCCCAGCCAAAGATTAGGAGTAACTGAAACTATCTTTTTGGATGAAATTAATTTGCTATTTAAAGGCAATATCGTGCAAGATGTCCGAGAAAGACAAAGGTTCTTGATGCATTTTATCGCGTTAAGTCGCCATCAAGGCACTCGTTTATTTGTTAATGCCCAAAGATTAGGACAAGTTAGTATTGAACAAAGAGAAGTAACTACGGCTATTTGTCAAGTCTCTCTTTTGCAAAAGACGGATGAAGGGATTTATGTGCAGTGTGTGTGATTTGAGAAGCAGCTGCTTGGACTAATAGTAAGACGGAACAAGGCTTTATCATTTTTGTCGGAAGAAAATATTTGGACACTTATAATAGTTATTGGTTAAAGAGTTTGAAGTATTTGAGACCGAAGCAGAACTATATTTAATGAAACATTAAATATGACCAACCCAACTGAAAAATTATTATAAAAACCAGAACTTGACTTGCTTTGGTCGAATTAAAGAATTTAGAATTAAGCAGGGACTGAATTGAGTTAATGACTGAGCCAGTTAGTAATTAATATAAAATTTACCTATAGTCTGAATATTCCTAAGATAGGAATTTAATTTGCTGTAATGATTGCTTATGTTCAGAAAACTAGCATAAACTTAAAAATCAATCGCTCCTAGTTAGATATAAGTGGGATTAAGCGATTGTAAAATGCGATTTTTAAACATAAAAACATAAATTTAATAAAAAATATGGTAAACTGAAAAGAAGGCGACAATTTCACATTTAGAAAATTTACAGAAGAAATAACAAAGAATTGATTAGACAATGGTTTTGATAAAAAGGAAACCGGAAAATGATTGGAGGGTGGTTTGCAACCAAATGATTCTAGATTTGCTCAATGACTGCGGGACACTAAAAATAAAAATGTTGAGTGATTTTCGGAGTATGGAGATGAAGAGAAATTAAGAAAAGAATTTCACAAATATTCAAAAAACAAAGATAAAATTAACTTGGTTATAAGTAGTAGTCAGGACTCGGCAGCAACTAGCGAACGACTTTTATCAGAGTCAGGTTCCACTCATCCAAAACAAAAATTTGATGATTGAAGTGATTGACACATAAAAATTATTCGCAGAAAACAATTTTTATTATATGAAAAGTCGGAAAAAGAATTAAAAGAAAGGCTAAGTTTTGCTATCCACAAAAACGACCGACTAGCCGAAAATTTACTAAAAAAAGAACTAGAACAATTAGATTTGGCAAAAGAAAATTTAGAAAAAGAACTAACCCAACAATGAATAAATGCTGAAATTCGTGAATGAAATGACACTAGTTTTACCAAATGACTGCAGGATGTTAAGGATAAAGATATCGAATGGTTTTCAGAACATGGAGTTAAAAAACAACAAGCTCAGAAACTATTAGACCAAAATTGTCCCACCTCCGAAAACAAAACTAATTGTCAATTCTTAAATTTTTGAGTCAAAAATAAAAATAATCCTCGAGGAATGCCACCAAATTGCTTAACAGGACCTTTATCTTTACAAGGATTTGCTAATTTAAAAGCATTCTGGTGTGGAGGGCAAATTATTACCAGTTTAGATTTAACTGACTGTTTTATTCTAGAAGAATTATATTGTCAAGATAATCAATTAACGAGGTTAGATTTAAGTTCTGATTCTAAATTAAAAAAATTAGGTTGTAGTAACAATCAACTTGCTGAATTAGATGTTAGCAATTGTGCTAATTTAGAAGAATTAGATTGCTCAGCAAACAATCTCACTAATTTAGATTTAACTAATTGCCCTCAATTAACTTCATTGTGGTGTCAGAAAAATCAACTAACTCAACTAACTTTACCAACTAAACTACCTAATTTAGAGCGATTGGTTTGTTACGATAATTTACTAACTCACTTAGATTTTACTGCTCTCAATGAAACTAAATTAACTATTCTTAGTTTAACAAGCAACAACTTCCCGGCTCAAGATTTAACTAATCTAGTTAAGTTTACTAGTTTAAAAGAATTATATTTAGGTAATACAAACCAAACCAAAGTCAAGCAAGGTATTATTAATCACTGAACCGGTTCTTTACAACCTTTACAAAATATGAAGCAATTACAGGTATTAAGGATTAGTAATACTGATCTAACTGATGGAACAAAATATTTACCTACTAGTGTTATGGAAATTAGATATTCCTCCTTAGCCAAACCAAACAGCAAAGTTAAATTAATAGCTAAAAAATTAGAGAAAAGTAGTGATTTTGTGTTGGTTGATTTTTTTAACCAAATCTATCTCAAAAAACAACTAAACCCAGCAATACTTAGCCAAATCCAAGATTGGAACCATAAACAACTAACTCCGGAACAAGAAACTTTACTAGTTAACTTAATAATTAGTGAAGACTGAAGGAATCACTATAAAGAAAATGGTTTATGCCAAGAGTGTCAACAACTAAATAGCAAGTTTGAATGATGTAGATCTTGCCAAGTGCAATATTTACAAGCAGAATTTCTCAACTGAACTAGTGGCAATCTTGAGATCGATAAAAAGAAAGAACTAGAGGATGAACTAGTTGAATCCAAAGCAAAGATTGAGAAATTAGAAAAAAAACTAACTGAACAAAACACACTTTATCAACAAAAAGAAGTAGAGTTGAATATTCAACAAATATTAGCTGAGGAGCTGAAAAAGCAATGAATAAGTGCTATTCAAGAAAGTGCAAAATCTGAGCCAGCCGAAAAAGAAAAATGGGAACAGAAGTCTAAAGAACTAGAAAAAAAACTTGATGAATCTAAAGAAAGAGAATTTGAGTTGAAAGGAGAACTAAAAGCAAAAAAAGAAGAGATTGAAAGAATGAGTAAAACAATAGACAAAGTAATAGTTACACCAAAAGCTCAAAATGTATTTATCAGTCAAAGCATCAATACTTACCAAATTCAATATACTCAAAATTATCAAAAATTGGAGGCTGATCTAGAAGAACAAATTAATGAATTCTTAGTTAATAAAGAAACTACCCCCTGAGAACAAAAAGTAATCAATAAAACCATTCTTTTTCTGGGAACCAAAGAACTTTTTATCAACTATCGTCAAGCCAGTATCAATGACTTAATAGACTGTTATAACAAGATAGAAAAAAGGTTAGGAAATAAACTTAATAAATTCACTAATGCGGTTAGCATGACAAACATTGCTGGTAAGTTAGCAAACATTATTCCTGGTGGGGAAGTAGCGGAAGCTCCAATTGGAATAGTCGGAGATGTTATTAACCTTACCGGAACTATTATCAAAGGAAAAGACTTAGAAAAATATACTAAGCAATTTCAAGAAATCTTAGCCAAAGATAAAAAAAACCTGTTTTTATTTGATGGTAATTATCTGTCCTTAATTAATATTGTTTGGAAAGATAATAAGACAAATGAGCAAGGAGAAATAGTTTCAATAATTATTAATACTCTAAATTTAGTCAAATCTGAGTTAAGTCCTTTTAGTAATGATCACAATGCTTTTGATCATAGTGTTTGTGGAATTTGGCAAGGTAGATCTTCAATAGAATTAAGAGAAATGAAGAGTTCGATTGAAGCAATTATTAATAACTTCAATGAATTAAAAAAAAAATTGCAAACTCAAAAAGGACAACTAAGTAAACAAGCCTGATTTAAATTAATAGAAAAAAATACTGATTTATTACAAGAACAACCGCAAGTCCAAATCCAAGCCCAACTTAAATAAAAAAAATTTGCTCATTTTCCTTTCATCCAATAGTTTTAAAATTTATTAGAAAGTAAGTTACTTCCTATCGATAAACTCCCCCATCTCCTTAAAAGTTAAATCACACCCCTAAATAATTTCTCTTTAACTCCCGACAAACCTCTAACACGATAAAACTCCCTGCACAAGGATCCACCACTAAATCTTGTTCCTGAGTAGTCGCAGTAATTAACGCTTTTATTAACTCTCTCGGTTTTTGATGGGGATGCTTTCGCTGACTAGTTGGTAAACTACCCTCTTCCCACACGGTCCCAAAAGAACGATTAGTAAACTTTTTACCAGTAGGCGGATATTTTTGCAGCAAAAAACAAAACTCAGCATTACTTCTTAATCAAGTCCCTAATCCCAAAGTATTTTTCTTATACCATACCAAACAATCGACAATTTTTAAGAAGGAGCCTTAATCATTCAGGCGGCAATCCGATCACTCCCTAACAATCCTTTATTGATTCAGAGTAAACAAAAAGAGCTAGGTTTTAATATTCTTTCTGCTTGCTCAATTATCCGCATAATTTGATAGTCCGATTGCGGATAAAGAGGATAATCAAGTTTGAGAACATTACTAACTTTTTCATATTGGGGATCTAAGAAAACAAGATCCACACTATTATTTTTGCAATTGTTTAATAATTCCAGGGCTTCCCCGCTTTGCTTGTTATTTATTAAATACTTGTTTTTTTTTTTTTTTTTGCTAATTCGGTCATTATTCATGTTCGATTAAATATTTCGTTCTTAATTCTTCTCTTCGAGCTTCCTTTTTCTCTGAAAAAGTAAAACAAGAAATTATTTTTGTTCTTTTAGATATAACTCTCGCCAATAATTTCTTTCTTTCAGAAAATCAATCTCCCCCAAATCATCCCCTAACTGAAAAGTGCCATATTTTAACTTATCTATTCAATTTTGCTTAATTGTTAGGGCCATAATTCGCTTAATGATGGATAGATATCACGGCAATTCCACAATCAGAACCATTACCTTGTCTAATATCAGGCTTGGGGATTAAATACAAAAAACTAATGTTGCTTTTAATTGAAAAAAAATATTTATTTGTTACTTTTCCCAAAAAGAAAATAACAAATATCACCTTCTTGAATAGAATAATCGGCGCCTTCTTTACGAACCTTACCAGTCTTTTTTAGTTCTTCTTTGCCTGGAAATTTGCATCAATCATTATAGCTATACACTTCGACCCGAATAAAACCTTGTTCAATATCAGAATGAATCAGTCCGGCACATTCGCGAGCATTCAGAGATTTTTTGGCTAATCAACTTTTAGTTTCATCCTCACCGGTGGTAAAAAAAGTTTTTAATTTTAATAATTCCTTAATTTTTTCAGCAAAAAGTGAAAAATCGGTAGTTTTTCAACCCATTTCTTCTTTTTCCTCGGTTGATAACTCTTCCATTTCTCCCTCCAATTTGACTGCCAAAGGAAAGAGAGACAATTCTTTTTTTTTAGCATATTCTCTTAATTCCGCGATTTCCTTTTCTTCCCCACCATAATTAGCCAGCAAAAAGATGGGCTTGCTGGTGAGGAAATTATAACCTTTTATTAATTCTTTTTCTTCTTCTGATAAATCTAGTTGACTAACTGGTGTTTCTTTTTCTAATTGTTTCTGAATTAACTCCAAAACTTCTTTTTCTTTTTGGGATTTTTCATCCCGCACTTTTAACTTTTTCAGTTTTTTCTCTATTTGTTGTAAATCAGCCAAAATTAACTCTAATTGAATTATTTCCAAATCCCGAATTGGGTTGACTGATTTTTCGACATGAACTATTTCTTTTTCCGGAAAGCAACGGAGAACCTGACAAATTAAATCTACCTCCCGAATATGAGATAAAAATTCATTCCCCAACCCTAAATTTTGCGAAGCGCCTTTGACTAAACCAGCAATATCGACGATTTCAATAGCACTGGGGGTAGTTTTTTTACTTTTTCAATATTTAGTCAACTCTTCCAAGCGAGGGTCAATCAAAGGCATTACCCCAACATTAGGGTCAATAGTGGCAAACGGATAATTAGCAATCAAAATATCTTTTTTAGTTAAGTAATGAAATAAGGAGGATTTGCCAACATTCGGCAAACCAACTAGGCCAATTTTGAGGGTCATTAATATAAATTGTTTTTTAACAGATTACCAAAAAATTTACTATAACAACAATAATTAACAAATAAATATGAGCGTTGGGATTGGCATGGGCGTGGTTTCTCACATGTGAAGAGACCATTGGGGAAAAGGAAAAAAAAGTTGAATAAGTTGTTGGGTTTGTTGACTTTACTATTTACTTGGTTGCCTGATTGCTTTTCTTATTCCTTGAAAAAAATACAATAATAAGCATATGGATCAAATATTACAATGAATTTTAATAATTATTGCTATCTCTATACCACCCGTTATTGTAGCATTAATTAAATATTTTACTTACAAAAAGAAAATTGCGGCGGAAACTGAAGAAATTAAATTAAAAAATAAAATCACCAAGGACATAACTTACGGACAATTGAAGAAAGAAAATAAACACAAGGACGTGAAAAACAAAATAGAAATTCTTGAAAAATTAATAATTTTGGAAGAGGAAATAAAAAACAAAGAAAATAAAACAGTTAGCGACCAAAAAAAATAGAATCCTTAGAAATGATTAAAAAGGAGTTTAAAGAAACTTTCACAATTGAGGCAAAAGAAGAACCAAAACTAGCCAATTCAGGGGAAAATTTGGAAATCAAAAAGAAAAATAGCAAAGCAAAAAAAAGAACAAAATCCGGCAAAGTTAATTCAAAAAGAAAAGACTAGTTCAAGGGAGGAGAAAAAATAGTCCAAATGGATAAGAGAATAAGTATCAAAAAAGGACAAGAAATTATTAGAAAATTTTTGGAATTACATAAAGTCAATTCATCACCCTATCATCACAATAACGAATACCTTGTATTGGAACATTTGGATTGTTTGAAGGATGTTTGTGAGAACGAACAATATTTTGCTATATTGAAAAGCGTTTTAATAAATCATTTGGAGACAAAATATAGCGAAGATAAATTATCTGTGAGGAAAGAGAGAAAGATCAATATGGAAACAAAAGTTTTTCAAAACTAAGTTTGAAATCTTACTTGGAATTAATTAGAGATAGCAATTACCCTTTTGACTACCTTTCCAAATTAATAAAAATTAAGAAAATCGAGCCCGAAAAATATCAATACGCTTACGGAGGAGAAAAAGCAAGATTTAATGAAATAGAGAAATCATGGCGAGAAAGAGATTATAGAGACATCATAGATGAATGTGATACTTTGCTTGGACATTTTGTAAAAAACCTTCATGAAGTAAAAACCGGAAAAGAATTTTCGTTCACTGATAAAAAGAAAGACCAAGAAATTGAAGTAATTTTAAAAGAAATAACTTCCTCTCGTGAATTGTCAGAATTAAAAGGAATTTAACAACATGAGAAATAAACTAGGAAAGGACAAACCTCCCTATAAAACAGGGTTAGAAAGATGAAAAAAATTTAATGAGTTGCCAGAAATTAAAAAAAATCTTTATACTAGAATGATCATAGATCTGTTAAAATCTCTTCACAATTCATTATTAATAATTCAAAGAGACTGAGAAAAGATTTTAGAAAAATAAAGAAAAAATTAGTGCCTAGTTGAAATAATAAAATCAAATTGGAAAGAACAAAGTTTCTCTTATTTAAATGTTGGGTTCGCTATTTTCCTTATTTCTTTCCGTATTAAAAATTACCCCACCGCCTAAACAAATATTATCTTGATAAAAAACGGCATACTGTCCAGGGGTAATGGCTCGTTGTTTTTCGGAAAATTCTACTTTTAATTCCTTAAAATCGGTTAGGGGAGTAATTTTTACCGGAATTTCCGGTTGGCGATAACGAAATTTAGCAGTTATGTTTTGATTACTAAAAAACTTTTTTAATTCTTTTTCATCAACTAATCAATTAATATTTTTTACTATACATCAATCGCTATATAACCACTTATTATCCCAGCCACTTGCCACATAAATTAGGTTTTTTTTAATATTTTTTCCTACTACATAATGAGGTTTTTTTTGCCCGTGAAGACCTAGACTTCGGCGCTGTCCGATAGTAAAAAAAGGAGTTCCAAAATGCTCCCCTATCACTTTTTTGTCATCAACATCTATTACCTCTCCTTTTTTTTTGGGAAAATAATTAGTCAAAAAACCTTCAAACTTGCGCTCGCCAATAAAACAAATGCCAGTCGAATCTTTTTTTTGCGCATTAATTAGCCCGGCTTTTTCCGCAATCTGACGAATTTCCTTTTTAGTTGAATTAGCCAGAGGAAAAAGTATTTTGTCTAATAAATTACGGTCAATTTGGCACAGGAAATAGGTTTGGTCTTTACTATTATCTTTGGGTTTACTTAAATAATATTCCTTGCCTTCCTGAACTATTTTCGCATAATGACCGGTAGCGATAAAATCAGTCGCAAACTCCTTTTTTACGTGCTCAGTAAAATAATGAAATTTGATCACACTGTTACACAAAATATCAGGATTAGGAGTAATTCCTTTTTTTAAATCTTGAAGGAAATTAGCAAATACCTTATCTCAATATTCCTGAATAAAACCTACTTTATAGATTGGAATATCTAATTGATGAGCAATGGCTTGGGCGTCATCCCAATCCTGAGTTTGGGAACAAATATTCGTTGGTTGTCCACCCAAATAATCATCCCAATTTTGCATAAAAATCGCAATTATCTCATGACCCTCCTTTTTTAAAAAATAAGCCGCTACCGCCGAGTCTACTCCACCACTTAAACCAATGGCAATTCTTTTTTGGGCTTTGATAAAAGAACTGGACATATTGATAAAATTTTAATAAGAAGTAATATTTGTGATTATTCCCAAAAAGACATTGAGGAGATATTAAGTCCGGTTTTTACATAATATTAGGGGCTTCTATTCCCATTAAATTAAGTCCTAATTTTAAAATTATCTGAATATTTTTTACCAACAGGAGTTTTTGGGAAGTTAATTCAGGATTTTTTGACTCCAAAATAGTGCTGTTTTGGTAATAAATTTGTCAAGCTTGGGCTAATTCGTAAAGATAATGTATTAAATGATGGGGCTTATTTTCTTCAATAATATTTTCCAAAACAAAAGAAAAACGAGTTAGTAAGTTAAACATCATTCTTTCACTTTGACTGTTTAGTAAGTTAATATTCGAGCCAATTTTTGCTATACCTTTTTCTTGGGCTTTGTGAAGTATCTGGTGGCAGCGAGCATGGGCGTATTGAATGTAATAAAGACGAGTTTTTTCTTTATTTTCTTTTAGTAATTCGGCATTAATAGAAAGGGGCTGGTTGGGCTCCTTTTCAAGCAGAAAGAACTTTAACTGGTTCATATCTATATATTTCAAGGCCTCGTCTAATTCAATGGTATTCCCAGCTCTTTTAGAAAACCTTTCCGCATCTCCTTCTTTGGTAAGCAAACTAACTATTTGGACCAAAATTATCTGAATAGTTTCTGATTTATGGCCTAACAATTGACAAGAACTCTTTAAGCGATTAATAAAGCCGTGATGATCGGCTCCCATGATGTTAATTAATTTATCGGCTCTTTTTAACTTGTCTTGGTGGTAAAGAATATCGGAAAAAAAGTAAGTGTAATCACTGTCTTGCTTAATAATTACGCGGTCTTTATCGTCCCCTGCCAAACTACTACGGAAAAAAGTCGCCCCCTCGTGGTTATAAATTAAATTTTCCTCTTTTAACTCCTGAACTAAATCTAAATGCTGTTTTTTTTGGTATAAACTAGTTTCGGAAAATCAAACATCAAACTTAATTCCACACTTTTCCAAATCTTGTCGCATTTCAACTAGAATTAGTTTTAAAATTTCTTTTTTTCAAATAATAAAATCTTCTTTGTTTAATTTTTTGTTGATATATCTATCACCTCACCTTTCTATTAAATTTTGAGCGACCTCTCGGCTAGAATTGCCTGCGTACTCTACTTTGTCTGAATTTGCCAGAGTAACACCCTGCAATTGATGGTAAAAATAATAAACCGAATTAATTAAAGAAGTTATTTGTCCCCCGCGGTCATTAATATAATATTCACGGGTTATTTGATAACCATAAAACTGATAGACATTAGCCAGCGTATTACCAATGACCGCATGGCGAAAATGGGCTAAATGAAGATAACCAGTCGGATTAGCCGAAACATACTCAATATTTATCCGAATATCCTTTTTTTTACCTTGGAGATTGTGACCTGCTCGGGCTAATGTTTCGGCAAAAAAATGCTGATAATAATTGTTTGGAAAACGAAAATTAATATAACCTTGTTCGGTAATAGTATATTCTAAATTGGGACAATCAGTGATTTTTATTATTTCTTGGGCGACTGCTTGAGGATTACCCTTAGTTTTATGGGAAATAGGCAAAGCCAAAGTAAGAGCAAAGTCTGCCGAGATACTGGATGGTAATTCTCATTTCAAAAAAGAATTTTTCCAAGCAATATTATGCTGAGCAGCGAATTTTTTTCAGTTAGCCAACAAATTATTTAAATCCATTTTTTCTCCCATTGTATAAAAAAGTTTTTATAACTATAAGGGAGATTTATTGATTTTCAATCCTTAATTTTCGCTTTCGCCACTCCCTTCTGAACCCATTAATTTTTCTCAGAATACCGCAGTTAATACCACGGCTAACAAGACCACTCCGCCGCCAATGTATCAATACTTTCATTTTTCTCAATGCCCTTCCTCAGTTGGAGTGCTTGGACCTTCACTTTTGTCCTCATTTTTTTTCGAAAATTGATGACTTTGACCGGTCTCTCTTTCAAAAAGAAATTTAATCATGGCCTCCTTAGTATACTTACCATTTTCTTTGGAATAAATTTCCTCATTTAATCGATTTTCATCAATGTCTTTCTTGTTTTCCATTTCAGTTTCTACTTCCTTTTTAAAATTCTCATCTTTTAACTTATGGCCAAACACCACCTTGATTACTGTGTCGGATTTTTGGCTGGTTAATAAACTAATAACTTTTTCCTTTGCTGAATTACCCTTTACTGGGAGTTTATCAGGTAATTCCTCCAAATGTTCCGCTAACCCTTCTTCCTGACCTTTCACATTTTCTTCCAAGAATTTTTGAATATCTTCTTCGGTTTTCAACTTTGAATCAGGATTATTATAACTTTGTCAAGATTTCGTTGCTTCTTCGGATGGTTTAACCTCCTCACCAAAGATAGTTTGAATTATCTTTTCTATTTTCTCAGTCGGTATTTTTTCTGGTTTTGGTCCTTCTTCCTTTGGTTCCTTAGCCTTTTCGGCATCAATTTTACCGGTTAATTCAGCTTTTTTACTATCAATGTCATTTTGGGTATCCTTGTCGGCAAACTCCTGCTCTCAATCACTTCCTAACACCTCGGCTAGGCTTTTACTATTAACCGTACCGGTTTCAGTTTGGTCGTTCGATTTAGTTTTCCAGTAGGCTTTGACGCCCGTAATCGCCACAGTCCGAGCGGCGGCCGCATCAAAGGTCGGTCCTTTGGCCGTACGAACTTTCGTAATCGCTGCGAGAACTTGGTCCCGGCGGGAATTTACCTCCGTTTCCGTTCCGCTGCCATTTACATAATCTAACCAAGTTTTTGCCGCTCCCGTGAGAACATTATTATCCGTTAACTGTTTATTTAATTCGGCATCGGTTACTTCTGGTTTGCCAGTTTCTTTTTGGGATGACTTAATGGCATTTTCTGCCGCAGTTTTAGCGGTGGCTAAGGCGGCCGCAGCTTGGGCAGCAGCAGCATCCGCATCCATTTTGGCTTTTTTGGCGGCAATAATACCCGCTGTATCAGTAATCTTATAATCCTTTTTGTTATATTTAACTTCGTCATTATTGGTTCCTTTGCTTAATTCAGAACCAAGCACCTGGGGACTGCCTTTGTATAAAGCAAAGGCTTGGGTGGAATCGATATTTTTGCCGCTGTAAGCCAAAATCTCTGCCTCGGTCACATTCGCTGTGGTACCTAGTTGTATCTGGAAATTTCTAATAAAAGTCCGCTCATACTGAACATCTCATCGCAAATTGTTAGCAGTATTCGCATCAGCGGCTTGCCTAATGCGGGAGATTTCAGCGGTCGTCAAAGGAGGGTCTCAACGTCCTCCACTGTAATTAAGTTGTAAAGCCGTAGTTTTGGCTTGTAAATCGGCTGGCAAAGCATTAAACAATGCGTCGCGGCCAGTAGCAGTTCAATCATCAGTTATTCAGCCTCCATCAGCAAAGCGGTATTGTTTATTACCACCATCGATTCTTAACTCCAATCCATAAATCCAGCCTTGATTATAGGCATCTACCACTTCGGCCGGAGTAATATTGTCATGATTAAACTGGCCAATAATGAAGTCGCTGTCAGGCACCGGAGCATCCACCGTGCCAAAATCAGCCGCGGCTTGACCGGTTGCGGCAGCTCGCACCGCATCCCGAAAGCGATTTTTTTTAATTTTTTTCACAGCATCAGTCAATGTCAACGAATCGGCCGCATTATCAATCATAACTAATTCGGCATCAACTAACTGTGGATTTCAGCGAGAACCGGTATCATCTATTTGATAAGCATTCATTTTCTCTCTTTCTAAGTCTGTACCTAAACCTAGTAAGTAGTCAGGTCGAGAAACATTTCTTCAATCTAGTAAATGTCAGTTTAGTCCATTGTTTGGACTTGCTACTAGCTCAGCGAGTACATCATCATTATACTTAATTTCCAATCCATAAATCCAGCCATTATTATAAGCCTGAACTGCCTCATCAACATCAAGTAAATAGGCATTAAGAAACTGGTCAATGATGTAGTTATTTTCAGGGGTATCAGCATCTAGATCCGTGTGAGCTGCACTGTTTCCGAGACCGTGAGCTGCTGCTGCCGCCGCACGGAAATTTTCCCTTCACAAATTAACTTTCCCTCTCAAATTACTAATTTCGGTAAAGTCTTCTGCTCCATTAAGTCGATATGCGGACTTATCTCAGACTTTTAAAGCACCATCATCATTAGCACCTTCCGGGTCCCAATTAATATCACCTGGATCTCAGCCTTCTAAATATAAAGCTTTGATGTTCTCCGCCGATAATTGAGCACTTATTTTGTTAACTTGATCGGAATTATCTTCCATCAATTTTTTTCGTCTTGCTAATCACCTATTGACCACCCCTTCGGTCATTTCGGCTCAGAGACCAGTACCAAGCCGGGAAACCACAGGAGCCGTGTGGGCACCATTGGGACCTACTGTATCCCACAACGCGTCTTTGCGGGCTAAATTATCAATCCCAGCAAAACCAACCGGATTGGTAAAATCACCGGTAAGAGGATTAATAACTTTGATATCGTCCCCATCCCTCACGATTTCGTCTGGGTTTCATCCTAATTGATGCAATTTTTGAACATGCTCATGAGTTAAGTGATTTGGGTCAATATTTTTTTCAAAAAGCACATTTAATCAAGCATCTATAATTTCATCATTGTCCGGAGAAACCAAAGCGGGACGAAAACCTCCTGCTCCGCCCATCGCCGTAGCACCATGGACCGCTGCTCGTCAAACGAATATTTTACTGCACCCCAAAATATCATCGATACCAACAAGGTCAGTTCCGTCGGCGGGGTTAAAAGATTTAAAATCCCCATTTTCTTGCCATAAATCCTCCGGGTTTCAGCCCAACCTATGCAATTCTTGAATTTGAGCACCATTTAAACGGTTAACTAAATCAATACCAATGTCTGCTTGACGATTTAATCATTTTTCTGCTAATTTTTTGTCATTAAGATGAGAAGGAGTTGAAGTACATAACTTTTGCCGAGCAAAAGTACCGCCTTGGGTAGGATTTACATCCGGGTCAACTTCCCGGTATCAAGCGGCTAACTTATGGACTTTTTCAATCTCGGTAAAATCTTCTCTTCAAACTTTGTCTACAGCGTCTCAAACATTAACATGGCCAGGACTACCAATGTTTCCACCAGCCCCAAAAGGCTGTTGTCCACCTTCAAAAAGGTCTTCTGGGTCATAACCGAGCCGGTGTAATTCTTGGCATTCACGTGGTTTTAAACGCTCATGCCGAGCAATGCCTAAATCGAGTTGTTTCTTTAATCATCGGTTCATTAATTCTACATCCTCAGGATTAGTGGCTAGTAAATTATCACGAAAAAATTCGTTCACTCCCCACGCATTAATATTGGTGGTATGATCGGTGACTTCCTCAAAATTGTCCTTTCAATCATTTAACTTATCAAAGGCTAACAATCCGGCAAAGCCACCCGCAATATCACTACCATCACTCTACGAGGCCAGCAGGTTGTTATTACCATCCAATCAGATTTCACTGTGCTCATAGCCATGGGCAAAAAGTAGTCCTAGCAAATAACCAACCCGACCATGGTTGTTGTTCTGTCAGTCTTCATTTACTCCCACCATCAGATTAATTCTACCATTAGGACCATGCGTTATTGCAACATCAATTTTGGGAAGTTCTTTGTCCCCCTGCCCCGTCGCTGTTGTGCTTAAACTAGTATTAAAAGGATTTCCTCCCTTGGTAAGAACATTACCACTGTCATCTCGAATATTATTTAATCCTTGATAAACCGCTCATCAACAACTAATAATTACACTACCTCTGTTATCATTAGGATTATTACCAAAATTGTAATCAGTGCCTCGGTCTAATAAAGTTGTTGAACCAGCGGCCTTATTTGCGGCCTGATTGCGAGGATAAATCCTTGCCGCTCTTTCCGGACTGAGCACACCATCTGCTAATTTTTCTGCTACTGCTTGTTTAAAAGCATTTCCAAATTGTCTTAAATTCATATTTATGTTAAATTAAGTGAGATATTATATTTATTGCCTAAGAGAGAGAGAGAGAGAACAAAAACACACTAATTATAAAAAAAATTCAACTCTCAGCCCTTTTCATTTATTCTCTTATTATATTATTTTAGTAATATCAAATATCAGTAGAATTGTTTCTTATTTTTATGATATAAAAAGTAGAACAAGCGCTTCTTCCAGATTTATATCATGTTCTAAACCAAGATAATTACCTACCAAACCATTTAATCTTCTCTCCATAGCCTTTTTTATTATTTTTATATTATCATCCTTTTTGATGTCCGAAGCCAATTTAGTCGGTCATCAACTCTTTATTTTGGTTGCTAATTTAGGAATATTTAACGCCGAACTGATGGCAATGGGTTCAATTTTTACTTCCTTTAATTGTAATTTGTTATCTTTTCAACCTGCGGTAAGAAGAATAACCAGCAATCCATCTTGACCTAAATTACTCCTTTGTTCGATTAATATCTCATCCAAACTTATTAAGGTTTTTTTTACTTTTAGTGAGGAAATTCTCTGATTAGGAAAATCAAGAGCACAACCGTTATCAAGAGTTAAAAACTTGCCGGGTAAATGAGGTAGAAAATTTTTGTTTTTATAACTATTTTGGAGGCTAATTATTTGAAGTGGTTGCAATAATTGTAACAATAATTTGAAGTCATAAAAACTGACGCCAAGGCTTAAATATTCTTTTTTGCTTAAATTAGTTATTTGGTTACTTTGGGTGTAAAGATAATCAATTATGCGGGCCAATCTCATTTCTCCACCGATTACGGGGGGAATGCCGACTATAAACTGAAAAGTAGACTTTTTTTGGACCGGAAAATCAGTTAAACAGTCTGCTAATTTTTTTTCGATATTTTCTGGATTACCAACTAGCAGGTAGATTTTCCCTTCTTCTTTTTTATCTTTAGACAAAGTTTGACTTTGCTCCTTCACAACTATTTCGCGCAGAGGACTTTTGGTTAGTATTTGACCAATTAGGGGGACAAAATCTTTATTTAAAATTTGAATCTTCTTACCTCAACTGCGGGTCAATTCCAATAACTCAAAGATATGCAATCAGTCAAAATCATAGAAAATAAAAAATAGTGGTTGTTCTTGACTGGGAAATTTCTTAGCTGCAAAAAAAAGCGAGTTCTTATTTTGCCAATGAAGTCCTCAATAACTAGTGATCAAATAAGTATTTTTTCTTTTTTGAGCACAAAATTGCTGAAAATCAGGTCAGAAATTAGCGGGAAAAAGTATTTTATTATCTAATAAACCACTAAAAGTAAATCCTTCCAAGAAGTAGAAACTGTGTTGAGAATAATGAACCACTAATCCTAAATTACCTAACAAATAACTACCGAGCGGAAGAAAAGACAAAACAAAGTCGCCAATTTTTAACTCCTTATTTTTTTCCGCCACTATTATTCTATTCCTTAATTGAGGAAAAAGGTGGGGGAAAATCAGTTTGCTCTGATGGCTGGTATAAATAGGGATGTGGGAACCAATTTCGCGACAAGTATCAGCCAATAATCCCACATTTTGTCAATTAGTATTAGCGATAATAATGGCCTTAATTTTAACCTTGTTTTCCTTTAAATAATCACGGCCGATTTGATGTTCTTGGTAGCCATTTAATGAATAATCTTTACCAGCAGCCAGGAGCAGAATATATTTTTCCGACTCCAAGAGATAAAGATTACCTTCATTTTCTCAACTACCACGAAAGAGTAAAAAGCGAATTGACATTTTATTTAATAGAAATTATTTGTATTTGGTATTTTTTTTGACTTATTTTAACTTCAACTATTTCACCAACTTTTTTCTCACTAAGAGCTATTCCAAGGGGACTAACTCGGGAAATTTTGCCTTGGTCGGGGTCGGACTCCCCATTTGTTAATTTGATAGTTTTCTCCTCACCATTCTCTAATAATCGGTAAATGATAATCTTATCATCCTCTTGACTTATGGCTGCCATTTTGGCTTTTAATGAAGCGATTTGATTCTGGTAGATTAGCAAATTTTCATTCAGCAATAATCAATCACTATTTTCAGAACAGTCTTTGGCACCATACATCTTTAATTTTTCTTTAGCAGAAAAGCAATCATTTTCCAACTTCCGCAACTTCTTTTGAAGGACAATATAACCTTCTTCGCTCTTCTTTTTCATAAGAATTTCTTATTATATTAATTAATTAAACTTAGACAGTGGGGTAAATTTTAATATCAGTAATTTCCCTCTTTTCATCTTTTAATATCCGTTTACTTTTGCCACTGCTTTCCAAGAAAGAGATTAAATCTTTTTTATTATATCAACAAACATCCTCATGAGCTAATAGGTATATTTCTGGACTTTTCTCTTTATCAACCAAACAAACCTGCTGCAAAGGATTTGCCACCCGAGTTCGATATTTTTTTTGTTCTTGTTCTTGGCATTTCGGACAGGCTTTCCTCTCGGCTTTTAATTCATTCAAACTTGGACATTTAGTTCGATTACCAAGAGCCTCATGACGAACTTTTTCGCCCTGTTCCTTTTTCTTAGCCAACTCGTTAATTAATTTTTGAATTTCCTTAGTTGCTCCGGGTTTGACTTTCTTTAAATTTTCTAACTTTTCCCTCAATTCTTCTACTTTCTCTTTTGATTGTTGGACTTGTTTGTCGTATTTATGGCAATGAGGGCAAGTTTCGTGTTTGGCCATCTCTACCTGATTTTTTAGTTCATGTTTAGTACAATATTTTTGACAATCTTTGCACTGTTTACTTTTTTCCTTAAAATCGCCTATTTTTTCCTGCTGGGTTTTAACTTCGGCCAGTAATTTTTGGTAAACTTCGCCTTTTTGTTTGAGATCCTTTGACTGTTCTGCAATCGCCACCTCACCAATGGTTGGGTCAATCGGTGAATTGGCAATTTTTCTTGTTATTTCTTTGGTGTTTACTCCAGTAATTATTTTGCTATCTTTCAGGATTTTTTCCTTAGTTTCTAGTGGTAAAGTAGATTTTAATACTCTTTCTTCCATTAACTCTTTTTCCTCCCGCATTTCTTTTTCTACCTTCTCTTTGGCCTTTTCTAATTTTTCCAAATCAAGGCAATGTTTTTTACAATAAGCCGTCTTTTTTAATTTGCTATCGGAACTAATTCAATTTTTAGTTGTGACCAATGGTCTCTTTTCACAAATATTATCTTTTTTAATTAAGAATAGTAGGAGATTTTTTTTATTTTCTCCTTCCTTAATTACCAACAAGTCTACTACTTTCTCACATTTTACTTGTTTTCTAATTTGCTTAGTAAATAATTCGGGGTTTTGACAATTACCGCATTCTTTAATTTGATTTCGTAATTTTTTAAACTGGGAACATCGAGAATAAGCCATTACTCCTTGACTTTTATCACAGCAATTAGCAGTTTTATGCTTTTTTAATTGAACTTGATGAGTTGAACAATAGACTGAATTTCCTTCCTCGTCCTTTTTTCTTGTTTGACGATAAAGCGGAAGTTTTAAGTTTTTTATTACACCATCCCGACTCCTTCTTTTAACAATAAGTTCTATTTCCTCATTACCTTGAATTAAAGTGCTTTTAGCAATTTCATCGCCGCTGCTGGTTCATTTTACTTGACAATTATTGCAATCCTTGATTTGTTTGTGCAGTTCTCGTGATTGTGGGCAACTAATACCACAAATGTGAGCAGTGGCCTTATGCTCAGTTAATTGCGATTGATGAAGCGAACATTTTTCAACAGTTTTTTGATAAAGATTAATTAATTTCTTCCCCGATTTGTTAATATTTTGTAACTTGTCGGCTCCCAGAAGTTTAATTTTTCCTCGGTGGGTAATAATCAGCAGAAATTTCTCAGTAAATTGTTCCTTCACGGTCAAAGCATTAGTAAAGAATTCTTGGGATTGGAGGGTTGGTTTTAACTCCCCTTTTCTCGTCCTCATGAAATATTCCTCATTTAAATTAGTAGTTTTATTAAGAGCTGCAAACTTGTAGAAATTTAAAACATATAATTTGCCGTAGTTAGAAAAGCATCACAAATCATCTCGGCGGTCAAGTTTAATAATGGTTCAATTATCCCCCCGCGTTTTTAATTTTTTACCCTGACTCGGAATATTAGTTGGTTCCACCGCCGCTAGACTATGAACCGTTAAATAATTGTTTATTTTGCTTTCCTTTTTATTTTCAAAACGACTCAGCAAAGCAACTCTTTCTTCGTGGGGAATTAATTGTCTTTCCTCAATCGAGTGTTGAAGAGAGGTAATCGTTGTTCGTCTTTTATCCTGCGGATAGTTATTTTTTAGTTCTTGCAACTCTTGAATTAATCTTTCTTTTCTTTTTTCTAAATTAGTGATTACTAACTGTTGTTCAGTATTATCTTGTTGTAATTTATTGATATCGTTTTGTAACTTTTCTCTTCTTTCTGGAGTAAATTGGCGAAAACTAGCTGGCGTGTCCAAAATACGATTAATAGCTTCTTGCTCTAAATCACTAGGTTTTTCAGATGAATCAATCGATTTGTCTTGAATGCTCCTCAATTGTTCTTGTAATGTTTTTAACTCAGCATTGAAACGATTTTTTAATTTTTTTTCCCTCTCTTCGTCGGAAGAAGAAGTGTGAGCAATTTCAGCTATTTCTCGATAATTATCGATAATAAAACGACGGGTTTCTAAACCAATTAACTCTTTCTGATTTTTGTTATAAATAAATTGGGATTTCTTTTGAATGTTTTCTAAACGTTGGCTAACAAATCCTTCCAAAACTTCCTTTAAAGAAAAAATTTTGGGTTGATCATCAATCAAAGCTCGCATTTTTACACTAAAAGTATTTTGCAATCTAGTGGTTTTGTATAACTGATTAAGAATTACTTCCCCATCATAATTAGGATCAAAACGTAGATGAATGTTAACTGGTTCCTCATAACTGGAATAATCAGCGACACTGCGCAAACCATCGATTTTTTTGTCTTTAATTATTTGGCTAATGCTTTCTACTAGTTTAGCCTTATTGACTTTGTAAGGTAATTCAGTAATATGGATTAAGTCTCTTTTTGACTTAGTAGAACTGTCCAACTTTGTTTCTTTTTCGAGTTTGCTAGAAGTAATTTCCGCTTTGGCCCGAATATAAATTGTCCCTTCGCCTTTTTCGTAGATACTTTGTAATTTTTCTTGTTCGAGAATTTGACCACCAGTGGGAAAATCAGGGGCTGGCAAATAAGTGATTAATTGTTCCAAACTAATTTCTGGCTCTTGAATAAGGTTAATAGTAGCATCAATTACTTCTCCTAAGTTGTGCGGCGGAATATTGGTGCTCATTCCCACTGCAATGCCACTAGAACCATTTAATAATAAGTTCAGATTAGCTGGCAAGATTTTTGGTTCTTGCTTAGTTTCATCATAATTGTCAATTCATTCAACTGTTTCAAAAGCTAAATCTTCCAAGAGATAAGCACCGAACTTAGTTAAGCGGGCTTCAGTATAACGCATTGACGCAGCAGGGTCGCCATCTAGGGAACCTCAGTTACCTTGACCATCAACTAATGGATAACGATAATGAAAATCTTGTGACATTTTCACCATAGCTTGGTAAATACTAGCGTCGCCATGAGGGTGATAATCACCCATTACATCACCAACAACTTTGGCCGCTTTGCGGTGAGCTTTATTTGGAAAAAGATTTAATTGATAAAGAGTAAAAAGAATTCTTCTTTGAACTGGTTTCAAACCATCATATAATTGGGGTAAGGCCCGGTCTTCGACTACGGCATAAGCATACTCCAAGAACTTGACTAATAAGGCTTGACCAACATCTAATTTATTATCAATGACCGTTAATTGAACATTCTTATGATCGCCGCTTTCTAAATGTTTTTTCCTTGGCTCACTTTTGGGACCCATTAAATCTTGAATAATTTTCCGAATGCTAGGTGGATTAGGAAGAAGCAATTCGTGTAAACAACGTTTACGTGTGGCCATGGTAGTTTCCCGCAATTGTTGGGGATTCATTTCTCCCAAACCTTTAAAGCGTTGAATAGTATAACTTCCTTTAACCTGTTGGCGATATTCTTCTAATTCTTGATCATTGTAAAGATATTTTATTTCCTGCTTGGTTTTTATGCGATAAAAAGGTGGAACTGCTAAATATAAACGGTGCTCATCAATTAAATAACGAAAGTAACGAACAAAGAAAGTTAAAGCCAAACATTCAATATGTTTACCATCCGGGTCAGCATCAGTCATAATTATAACTTTCCCATAACGCAACTTCTTTAATAAGGATTGCTGAGTTTTGGCTACTATTACTTTTAATTGCTCCGAAGTAAGGGCGGTATGAGCTGGGATTATTACTTCTTTCCCTTCCTCATCTTGGTAAATAAATTCTTCAGGAATTTCTATTTCTTGTAATTGTTCAGGAGTAAGGTCAGTTTCTGACTTAGTCCGAAAGCGGTTATAGTAATTTTGGGTAGCTTCACTAACATTAAATCCTAAAGCATTAATTAGATTTTTTATTTCCTCATTTTCAAAGATTTTAACTCTTTCTGCCTTTTCAACGTTAATAATTTTTCCTTGAACAGGTAAAACGGCTTGATTATTCGGATCACGGGCCGACTTAGCACTACCTCCCGCCGATTCTCCTTCGACAATAAATAATTCATTGTTGGCAGTGTCTTTCGAAATACAAGGAGTTTCCGGTGAAGCTGATCCACGACCACCTTCGCGCAGAGATTTTTCATATTCTTCGTACTTGGCCCGATTTTGGGCGTTAGTAATAATTTGTCGACTAATGGCTTCAGCACTATTGCCGTGGTCTTGGAGAAACCTTCTTACCAAGTCGTAACTGGCATTTTTAACCAATTCACGTACAGACTTATTAGCCAAGCGATCCTTAGTTTGTCCCGAAAATTGTGGGTCTTTCATGCGAACCGCCAAAATAGTCACCAAACCTTCCAAAACATCATCTTTTAAAACACTTACTTTTAGATTAGGGTATTTATCTTTAATTCAATCCCGAACGGCACTAACCAGACCATTTTCAAATCCCTCAACATGAGTTCCACCACCACCGGTACTAATATTATTACAAAAGGACTTAACTAAACACTTTCTCTGAACTTGGCTATATTGAAAGGCAAAATTTAAGTAAAAATAATCTTTCTCACTGGGACTAGTTCATTCTTCAGCACAGATTTCGGTATTTTCTAAGTAATTATCTTGATTTACTTCTTTTACTCAACCGGCCAAGCCACTACTGTAATGATAAGTAATGGGAGTAGCTTCCGGTGAAGTAGCAAAAGCTAAACTAACGTTTGGATTAAGGTAAGCTAATTCTTTTAAACGGTTTTGAATAGTTTCAATTTTAAAGTAAGTAAACTCTTGAAAGATTTTGGGATCAGGGGTGAAAGTAATAGTAATTCCATTTGTTGCTTTCGGTGTATCAGTAATTTGGGAATTAATTAAAACTCCTTCTTGGAACTCTAAATACTCAGTTTTGCCATCCCTTCTGCTTCAAACTTTTAAATTGGCAGAGAGAGCATTAACAGCTGTCACGCCAACTCCATGTAATCCACCGGAAGTTTTGTAGACTTTGTTCTCAAATTTACCTCCTGAATGTAAGAAAGTAAAAATAGTTTCTAAGGTACTTTTTTTAGTGTCGGGGTGAATAGCAATTGGAATACCTCGTCCATTATCTTCAACCGTGATATGTTTTTGGTCAAGCGAAAGAGTTATTTTTACTTCGCTACAATAACCAGCCACCGCTTCGTCAATCGAGTTATCAATTACTTCTTGAAAAAGGTGATGTCAGCCTTGTTCATCAGTTGAACCAATATACATTCCCGGTCTTTTTCTAACCGCTTCAATATTTTCCAGAACCTGAATGCTTTCAGCTCCATATTCGTTTTTTTTCTTTTTTTCTTTTTCGGGCATAAAAATGTTTTTTTTAATTATATTAATATAATTCTGCAATAAGATACACAGATTGATATTAATATATAAAGAATATGAGGATAAAAATATTTAACCTACTTTATTACTTTTTTTTAATTTGATAATAAATAATACTTACCAAGTTTATAATCAACAATAACGTTATAATGAGAATCATTTTTTGTTCCTTCTCTATGATTACTTTTATTATTTAATTGCTGAATTTGTATCTTTAACTAACTGGTCAAACTTGTTTTTAATTAGTTGTTTTTTATAATTTTCTATCTCTTGAAAAGGAAGATTATTTAGTTTTCTTACAGAAGAGATTTTTAGTTAAAAAACCTTTTTGTAAAAATGGCAGAGGTGACAGGACTTGAACCCACAACATTCAGTTTTGGAGACTGACGTTCTACCAATTGAACTACACCTCCAAACCAAGAGAGTTATTTGTCACTCTCTGCATCCCTTTTAGATATTTAAAAAATATGGTAAATAAAATAATTCCTTTTACATTAAAGAATAAGCCGTATTCTGTTTTTAACCGGTGATCTGTCTTAATTCCTTGTGAGAATTACCAATTGAGATTATTTTTCTCTTTCTTTGGTGCTCCTACCAATTTAAAGAATTTGGATTGCTCGCTAGTGGGGTTTACGACGTTCCACTTCCTCGGTTTCCCGAGTAATCGTCACTATGGCACTTTTATAGGCTATTATACCGTATGCCGAGGAGAGAAAATGGCATTTAGGTAATTCACCAGCCGTCGGGAAGGAGAACAAAAGACCCGCCGAAGTTTATTAGACTTCGCACTAAAATTACTTACAATTCCAGCAAGTGCGAGTACGGACTTTCCTCAGTTATTTATGAGATAACTGCCACCAGTCTTCAATGTAATTAATCAACTTTATTATATTTTCAATTTTATATTATTTTTCCAAATAATTATGTCGCCTATCACAGTCCGGACAATAAATCTTTATTCCGCCAACTATATAATAGCCCATATCGTGCTTTTTTAATTGCGACTTTTTCAAATAAACTTTTCATTCTCTGCCTTTTTCATCAACTATATTTCATTGCGAGTTTCCTCACTTAGCCTTTACTCGTCCATTACAACGCTCACATTTTACTCAGGCTTCACTTCAACTAACCTCAATTCCAAGAGCAGCTTGACTCCTCGATAAATCACCAAAATTTAATATCTTTTTTTTATTTATTTCTTCTAAGTTTCTACCTTCGTTGTTAGTATTCATAATGTATATTTTGTTTATTTTTATGGATGGGAGGAAATTAATCCTCCCTTTAAATTTCAGCTAGTATAAACTACTCATTTTCTTCATCTTTTTCACCTTCCTCAGTTTTGTTTTCACCTTGCTCTTCAGCCGGACCATTTCATCAGCCAGTAATTTTTTCTCAGAAGATAACTGCAAGGATACCAACAATCAATAATGTTCCGCCAATATAAGTAACACAAGGTCTTCAAATGTTATTTTTGCTAGGTATAAATCAAGATTTGGATGGTTCTTCATCATTTGGAGTTTCTTCTTCTTCTTTCTTTTCTTTGACCTTATAATATGAAAGTTTGGAATCTCCTTGGGCTTTTTCTCAATAATATTTTACTACACCTTCTTTGCTAGGCTCGCCATCCTTTTCACTAGCACCATATTGAGTCATATCCAGTTTTTCCTCATCATCACCAGTACCTTTTTTCTCAGCCTTCATCAAATCTTTTCCGGCTTTTTCATTAGCTGCCTCTTCTACTCAATGAGTATAAATAGTTTTTACTACTTGTTCCGGATCTTGTTTGAGGAATTCTTTTCAATTTTTGTCGGCATCAGTATCTTCAAACTTTTTAGTCTTATTTTCCAACCCAGCGTCTTTTAAATGAGCAATGAATTTATCTTTTGCATCAGAAGCTAACTTAATTATTTCAGCAATCTTGGACTTGGAAATTTTCACATTGTTTCACTTTGTCAGCAAATCATTATTTACTATATCATCAACATTTCCACCAAAGGCTTCTTTTAGTTCGGCTTCGGTTAATTTGGAGACCGGCTTATCTTTTTCTTCATATTTTTCAGGGCTAGTAATTGCTTTTTTGATTTCTTCCCAGTCAGTTTTTTCA